GATGTCCCTGCCGTCCACATTTTGAACAATAGAAACCCGGCTTCTCATATTGCACCTCTTGCTAAATGTTTCTATTTGGAAAAGCAATCGGAAAACCCAAAATCGGTGTATCCCTCAAATCAACTTCCACACATATCATTGTCCCTGTGGCTCTTGTTCGAGTTAGTGTGGCTTGATCCGTTCCCAAATATCGCCCAAATCGTGATGCCAGAATTTTCAAACAATCCATACCGTATAGATGCAGGGGAAGCTTAGGAAGAAAAATCCATTGAGGAGCCAAAGGCGATTCACTGCTCAAATCAAAGTCTCGTGTCCATTTAAACAGGCGAAAATTCCCTCCAGCCATGGTTCGCCCTTCCCTTGCCCATGTATGAATATAGTCTATCTCATTCCGTAATTGAAACAACACATGCTTCGAATCCATAAAACTCACCACCGGCATCTCTCTCAGTCCCCAAGTCTTGTTTATGGTCAGCCTAATCGTGTCAATGTTTGGCCTAACTGTCAAGAATTTTAGAACCAGCCCAAAGCGAAACTCCTCTGCCAATTTTTTCTCCTCCATCTCTGTAAATCTGAAACCCATGTCACCATCAATATCCACCAAAATTTTCATCGCTACAACCTGTTTCGGACCAGCCATGTCTCCAACTCGCGCAGTCACCACCTCCAGAAACAAACGACTTCCATACGCCCGACCTCCATTTCAATTGAGCCACAGCAGATCCCGACTACCCCCCTCCTAGAAGCCCCACTTCCGGCTGGGTGAGCGTCGTCATGACAGCCCCCACCAAGCCCTAATATTTTTGAAGACGAGGGAATAGGTTTTTTTGCTCTCTCACCCCAGATGACCAGTTAAATGGTGGGAAATAGATCCTTTTTAGATTGTTCAAACATATATACAAGGACTAGATTAATTGAGTTATATTAGGTTTAGAGTTTGAGAATGGAAAGAAGAAAAAAAAGATGCGACAATTTGCTAGACTGTCGCCTTAGATAGCTTGTCAGACAATAGAATTACATAAAATTTATGCATTAAATAACAACTATAATATAAAATAAATATTGCAATCATTGACTATGAATAGCAACATTCTTTACAAAATCAGTCAACTTTCACGGGTCCAAAATAATGCAAAGAACTTTGACGATGTAGCCAAAAAAACAATTTCGTTTTTCACAAAATGAAATTGCTTATAATATTCAACTAGTAAAAGAAAATCGATATATGCATTTCACTATATATTTTTTTTGTATTATACCGTCCATTTTAGTCGTTTACACTTGAGCAAATATTTGTATTTGACTAAAATTAGAACCTTGTCTAGAAATTTAAAGAAAAAATAGTTTATAATTAAAATAATTTATAATCACCATTTAGCATAATCCTGTAAATATCCAATTTTGATAAAACAGGCAATTTTTAAAATACTTTTATGAAACTATCTTTCAATAAATGAAATATTCTTTGGTATTCTTTCATTTAAATCATCGTAAATTTATAACGGATGATGGCCACGCTGGCAACAAAATTTGGGCCGGACCAAACTGGCCTTCTTAGAATGACTTGAATAATTAGAACAAAGGTAACGATGTTCTATGCCCTTCGTTGTCCATTCAAATGCACTCGATTAGGGCACAAAGCCGAGCTCCCTATTCAATCTTCAAATTTATAAATTAAAAACTGTAATTCGAGATTGGATGTCATTTATCAAGAGAGAGATAATTTGTTACTTGTGATTGAAATGATGATTAGTAGGGGAAACATTGTACGTGGTTACTTATAAGTAGAAATTTGCTTAAAGATAAAGTTTACTTATAAGTAAAAATATGTTAATTGAATGTAAAAATATCATATATAAGTAAACATTACTCCAAAAAAAAAAAAAAAAATCGTTTATAAGTAGAAAAAGTCATTTTCATGTAAATATAACGCTTACAAGTAAAAATTACAACTTATACTCCAAAACCCATTAGTTAAAAAATATTCGTAAGTGAAAAATCACTTATAAAACAAAAATAACTTGTGTGCAGACTAAATGTTTATTAAGTAAAAAAATACTTTCAGACAAAAATTCACTCATAAGTATTAAAATTTAATAGTCACTTATAAGTAAATTAGAGGTAAAAATTTCACTCAATAAGTTCAAAAAAATTCTTACAAGTAAAAGCACTTTTTAATTTTTTTTTATTTTTTTTATTATGTATACGGTCTTCTAATACATTATAACACCATAACATTACATTTGAACAATACCCTATAACCCACCTTAACATAGCCATCTGGACTTCTAGTTCTAATCCTATCATCTCTTAATCACATTCCCTAATCTAATAAAGTGTACCAAACATGTCCTTAATCTCAGCAAAAATAATTTAAATTTCACAGTACACTAAAGTAACCTGAAATGCAATTTCAAAATTTCCCTTCAGAAAAATGCACGAAAAGTCGAATTTTAATATTTAACTAAAGTCACAGCCGCTCAATATATTTGATTAGATAACAAGAAGGGATTACATTTGTTTTTCTGGATTTTTTAAAACATGTGCGTAGTTACAGAAAATTGCACTAAAACAAATTTAGACACTTTCGAATTCCAGAATTTGTGTTATAACAAGTCGTTTTAGTGCACTGTGCGTTCAGAAGTTACACAAATTGTGTTCTAGTGCATTCTTGGCAACGACAATGTTTGGAGGCGGGTGGGTGCTGTGAAATCGGGTGTGAAACATGAAAATAGAGATTACGTTTTTTTTTTTTGTCTATTTGTATGTACCCTTTTCGTTGAGTTGAAGTGTAACTCTAGACAATTTCAGCTAGGAAAGAACGGTGAAGATACGTGTTCTAAAAATAACAAGTCGAGGACAAAAATGCAAAAACCTCCGATGAGACGGTCATTGCATTTATAAGAAGTTATTTTCTTCAAATCATAATTCGACTCCGCCAAACATATTCAGGTGTGCCAGAAGCTTTGCACCCATGCAAATACTAAGGTTGAAGAACCTACAAACTAGGTAAGACAGCTTAAAACTTTCTAGTTTAAGGCCATGAGACGTACATAGAATAAAATCTCTCTTTCTTAATGTCCCCCTATCTTTAGCTTTTGATTTAGTTCTGTGCAAGTGTGTAGCAGTGAAAAGATACACAAAGAAAGAGAAAAGAGAATGCCACATCACCATCATATTACTTCCACCTTAATCAACACACATTAGCATTAGATCTTCCCTTCACCTTTTCCGCTTCGACTAGTATTCTCCAATTCCACAAATTCATCCGTTTCCATAAATACGATATCGACTATATAAATCTCTAATCAATTTCTAGATCTACTTGTACGTACTAAGTTTCATATAAGAAAAATTAACAATATTTTACGTTGATTGTCAGTTTACTACAACTCTCCTCGTTGCATAAACATAAAATGGAAATATAGGCCGAGTATCAGATTTCCTTTTTATGTAACTTTTCACCTATTTAGGCACCTCTTATTGCTTGCAGATTCCAACTACCCAATGCCTCCTCTCTCAAGTTTTCTTTATTCCCTAACACCAGCCTCTATTTTGTTCTCTCTTCAATGCAAGGAAGCTATGATTCTTCGTACTCGTATATAAATTGAATGCAGAAAAGATACTCTTCTTCACAGAGACACCATTCCTACTTCTCCTGTCTAAGAAACTTCATTCATTATATTGAAATTCTGGGCAAAGAAGAAACTTCACAACTTCATTACGGAAGTAGCTAGAGATATGAAAGGGGGAATACATACCTGTTCGATGTTCTTTCTCTTTTGCTTTCTTTGTATTTCAGGTAATTTTTTCACTTCTTAGTTTGTTCAAATGCTTATTTTTATGTTTTCATGTTAACACCAGTCTCAAACTATGAAGAATTTTTTTTTTTTTTTTTTGACTTTATCTTCAACAAACCTTCACATGCCTGGATTCATTTTTTCACGTAAAACGTGACAGTAGGCTCCTAATTGACATTCCCAAGACATTTATATGTTCTAATACTATCTTTAACCACCTAATGATTTTTCCTGAGAGGACTCATAACTATATGCTGGTGCCTACTTTATTTGAAATTCATTTCCAGAGATTGGAGAAATAGAATCTAAGCAAGCTTGTTGAGTATTTCTTCTTTTTCATAAAAGAAAAGCTAATTCAGATCTATAACTCACGGATTTTTGGCTTCAGATACAATCATTGCAGATAAGCCCCCCTCAGTAGCAATCAGAAAAGGCAAAAAAATCACCTATCAAGAAAACCAAATGATCTTTTCAGCTTCAGTATCTACCACCTTGCGAGATACTACAGGAAACGTCCCCATTGTCAATCCAACAACACCAGGTACAACTCCTAATGTAAATCCAAACACGCCACCTGCACCAACCACCACTCCACCGACCATAACTCCACCGACCACCACTCCACCGACCTTAACTCCACCAACCACCACCGGACCGACCATAAATCCACCGACCACCACCGGACCAACCATAACTCCACCGACCACCAACGGACCACCTTCAACTACTCCGGCATCATCGGGTGGTGCTTGGTGTATTGCCAGTCCGTCAGCTTCAGAAACTGCTTTACAAGTTGCTATGGATTATGCTTGTGGCTATGGAGGTACAGACTGTTCGGCTATTCAACCAGGTGCAAGTTGCTATGATCCGAACACAGTTCATGACCATGCTTCTTATGCTTTCAATAACTACTATCAGAAAAACCCATCTCCCACCAGCTGTGTTTTCGGGGGAGCAGCACAACTCACCAACACCGATCCAAGTAAGACATTATATTACATTATCTCATCTTGAAAATTTTGTTAAGATCCTTGTGCTTATGGATTATGTCCTAGTGCACACAATTGACATGATTAGCGCCTAGACTACTCTCCCTCAAAACTCCACACGTTTGCATCATAAACATTAGAAATAGAAGCATGGGATGAATAATTCAAACTGAATGAAAAGCACTCTTGCACTAGTGGACATCAAAACAGAAATTTTAACTTCTTTTTCTTCTACACAATAATTTGCCCTCCATCTCATCAAACATCCCATAAAAAGTTACATTTATTACCACTATAATCTTTGAACCTTTTGTCACATTGCTATAGGTCATGGGAATTGCCACTATGCTTCATCCACTACCTCCAGAACACCACCTGCAACTCCGACTATGCCCACAACGCCAACTATGCCCACAACTCCAATGACACCACCCAGGTAAATGTACTAATCAACTTCGGTGTCTAAAGTTCGTCAATAAAGGCAGTAAACTAATACATTTATATTTGTTATTACAGCACAACTTCACCTTACATGCCTGGTGGAGGAATTGGCTCCGGCACACCAACAGGCTATGATAATGGTTCGGCACCAATAGGCACCCCAAGTTCAGCAAAGACATCATCATACAACCTACTGCTGCTCATTACCATGAATTATGTCATATTGTCAATTGCTACAGAAATTTATTCATAAACAAGATGAAAACTTATTGTTACCATCTCCTGAATGAGATGGTAATTCCTTGGCTGCCTCCATGTTATGCAAAATTTTGAGGCAGAGAGATACTGATAGAAATAAATCTCAAGGCCTTCACCATAGAGTCATATTGATACACGACGTATAGATCAAGTAGCCAGGGGATAGTGAAGAAGCACATCATAATGTAGTTGGTTATTTATAGTTATACTTCAGTAGTTAATAAGAGAATGTTTGTTACATGGTACTCGACAACAATGTACAGCTTGGTTACTTGTTTCGTTAATCCTCTAAAATAGTGTCTAATGTGGTGAACCATACATGTGTTTCATGCCAGAATATCTGGTTTTAAGGCTATATTAGGAAGAGACGTGTAAAATATTCAGGAACTAACCAGTTACAAGTTAACACCCTTTAAATATTAGACATACTTCACCTATTTTAAAATATCAAGGGCCCGTTCGGTAGAGNTCAAATTTGACTATGGGCCCGTTCGGTAGAGATTAAAATCGGATTAAAATTGAAAAATTAGCCGTTATTGTTGACTTTTATTAGACGAGTGAGACCCAATAACGACTATATTTTCAATTTTAATTGAATTTTAATCTCTACCCAACGGGGCCCAAATTTATGCCGTCTCATCATGACACAATTACATAATTGCTATTTGTACGGCAATCGAAAAATAATGTAGACTAGGAAAGTATGCCATTTATGGACTAGATCTACAAGAAGTATTCTGGTCGTGACTTACACGATCAAGTGCATTAATGGTATGTTTATCAAAGATAGTAGGATAAATACTGGATGATATCAAACAAGAAAAAGGTGATATAACCTTATTTAGATTGGACATAAGACTAGAGGGAACGTGACAAATCAATTTTTTTTTTATAACCGTGGATGTCCGGAACAGCTTGCGCGTACTTCGACTAATTCCATTGGGCCCTAAAGTTTACGGTCGGGTACTCACCTCAGTAGCCCCCGAGGGGACTCAAACTGGTGACCATTGGAGAGCAAACCCAAGGCCTGACCAATTGAGCAACCCCTCAGGGTTGACAAATCAAATTTTAGTGCCACACATTTATAAAAATTCGAGGTATCGGACTTTGATGGAAATATATAACTCTAATGTACTCGGCCGTAAACTTCAGCGCTCCGTGGGATTAGTCGAGGTGCGCGCAAGCTGGCCCAAACATTCACGGTTATAAAAAAAAAATATAAATATGAAGTACATGAGAGAACACGAAAAAAATATAAATATAAAAATTATTTCTTGCTACTTTAAAATTTAAATTGAAGTGTTTTCAAGATTTATATTTCAAAGAAGTGGACAAAAAAATCTCACAACAAGTGTTTTCGGCATACAAATAATTGAACTGAATGGATTGCAAACTATTAAGTTCACCTAACACTTTCATGAGTTACTATGAAGAAATATGCTTCACACAGCTAGAATACTCGTGAGCCAATTTGATAAAAAAGATTAATTGAAGTTTTCCTGCCAGATGAGACGTGGAATGCGTTTTACTTCTTCCTTTATTTTGATCCGTGGAAGAGAATAAATTATCATCATAGTTCAACAATACAAGTATCAACATTTCCGCATGTTAATAATACAACAGTACAAGTGTGTTTTCACAAAGTTTTTAATATCTAATGTATTCACTACACACACACTGATATTCATAAACGAATTACAGCTTCTGAAGGCAGTACCCAAATAGTCAATGCAACATAACCTGTGAGCTGATTGAAGTAATGCATCGTGTTCAAAGCTTTACATATATGCGAACAATAAAATTTGGGGTGAGTAATAGCTGAATAAAATATTTTAATATCATACAAAATCAGAACTTTGATCCAAGAAGACCTAGATGACAACTTTTTTTGCATCTTTAAATGACATTACAGAACTCAAAATCGTCCTATCCACTTTTAATATTACAATGTTCAGGAAATCATAAAAGTTAGCTATCTCACTAATATTAGAACAATGAACAAGAAATTTAACACTACGTACCAAATACCGTTCCTGTTGGCAGCCAAAACACTATGTATCTTCATATAACCTGCAGATAAGGCATTCAAATTGTAAAGGAGTAGAACGATTGTCATGAGCAGAGAACTTCAATGACGATAGCCTTGAATCTTATATATTACAATTCTATTCCTTTTCATAATCATCCAGTTGCTCCTTATGCTGAGCATATTTCCTCTAAAGTATAAAAATTCCCTACGCAAAATCCTAACTTTTCCGCTAAACTAACTCTAGATCCACATGGTGTATTCTCCCAAAAGAATGTCGCCAGAATAACAAACTTCATTTTCCACCAGATTAGCTTTGAACCCAGTAGAGTGGATCACAACCTCAACCATCACCATCCTGGAAATTTTGCTTTGAAATACGTTGTAAGATATCAATAGCTCACTTGATCAAGGACATTTCAAAACAGCTATCTGATGACTTAAATAGTCAAATGTACGTCTACAAAATGTACATTGAAGACTGTAACAATTTCTATTTCACACAAAAAACCAATCCCGTGAACTGAAGTATAAAGAAAAGACGAGGCCTTGCTTTCATCAGAAGTAGGTGCGAACTGAAACCCTTCTACAAGTAAGTCTTCCTCATTCTACATTCTAGGACACAATACTCTTCTCTCCAAAATAGGAGCGACGTTCTAAACAATCCAAAAAAAATTCTGAATCACCCTAGGTCAACAGGAGAGATTTCCCAACTCCATTCAATTGCATTTCATGTATTGCTCATTTTCGGCATATCATCTAAATGTTTGCAAGTAATCTACATTCCTACATGCCGCAAGATGCCAAAACATTGATCATTGTATCATACCTATCTTGCAGCAGCCAACTAGAATACACACTAAAAATTAGTTTCCAATGAATGTGACTGCCTCCATAATTTTCCCCATGCCACAAAAAGGAAAAGGAAAAAAATCTGAAAGTTCATCGCATCTCTAAGAGAATCCTCTACAAAACTAATTTTTCCAACTAAAGGTCATATTTACTTCATTTTATCTAAACTTTATGCGTCCACAAGTACAATATGTCAATCAGATGCTATTTTAGCCTAGAATAACATAATTCTTGTGTACATAATGGTTATCAAAATGATAGGAACAACTGATATAGCTGCAGCCTGCAGGAATATTGATAAGAAGAAGAAAAACCATCATAATGGAAGTTGTAATGAGAGACTAGGTCCTCCGATCGTGTGACAATAAAAAAAACTCACTTAAAAAGTTATGCATCTGTAAATCTCCATGGTGAAGTACAACTATAAATGTCATAACTGAAATACAAGGGCAAAATATAATTAACATTAGGAGAAAGCATAAATGCTATATAAACCACGGATAGCATTCAGTCTCATTAGGAGAAGAAGGGATGTTTGTGGATTCATGGAATATTTATTTCAGTGTACAAATGAATGTATCTATATTGCATTCTAATAAGCCTTGTACAGATTTTACTTGAACCTAAAGTTTTTGATTTTTTATGGAGCTGTTTTTAACTTGTTAACATTGATGAAATGAGTGTCGATTTTCTTCCGACACATTGCGTTCTATGTTTTTCCAAAACCACAAAAGGGTATTTTCTGTCTACTCTTTTGGTAGGGGTGAAGCTAAAAACGACACTGATGACTATTACACAAAACAATTTCAGTGCATTTTATGCTTGGCACCACAAAAGGGTATTTTCTGTCTACTCTTTTGGTAGGGGTGAAGCTAAAAACGACACTGATGACTATTACACAAAACAATTTCAGTGCATTTTATGCTTGGCAACTAGTATCATGAACCTCTGGCTCAACACAACATACAAGGTGACACAAAAAATTTCTGCACTCAATTATCAACAAACTAATACTGACTTGATTCTTCCATTGGTAGCTTATCGGGGTTTTATTAACAGAACTGCTGTTTCCAAATCTAAGCTTATAATGGTTACTGATCTAACTATCAGCACAAACAGTCACCACTTCATAGTATATGTAACTTTCTGAATAATGACCTTTAGAATATTACCACAGGTCCACAGCTCATATGAATGCTTAATTCCAACCTTGTTTTTTTTATAAGGTATGTTTCTCCAGCCATGAAAGTTCACAAATATTAAAGTATTCTCGTAGTGAAAAGTTGAACATATGTAGCATGCTAGGTGGATTGAAATAAACACAAATAAAGTCACAATTTATTTCACAAAAGTCAAAACATACAGGAAACAACTGAGCATCTATGGCTGTACAATGCAAACTGAAAGAACCTCTTGTTCACTACCTTCTGCTAGCCTAAACAACTAACAAGATTCTCAGAAAGACAGGATAACGAAAAGAAACTAGCAATAAAAGCTGACTCAACAAGGTGATGCCATTTTATTGTATAGACAATTAATATCAAGGCTCAAGGAGGTATAAATAATGAGCATCTAAAATCAGCGATGGTTTTGCTTAAAATGACGTGAAGACGAAAGAGCAATTGAAGAAATACTAAGGAGAGACAAGGAGCTCTTATTCCTTGTTACCGAATTTCCTAGCAATTATGGGCCGAACATCATTAGCATCAACCAAAGTCTCCAAGAATGGAAGTAGTGAAATAAGTGCAGTGTCTGCTGGGTCGTCGAACCAACTCTTAATAGGAATACCATTATTCACCTGCAACCTGAAAACCTGACACCAAAAAAAAGAAAACTTTCAAAATCAAGGAATTTGGGTAATGTAGCAGGAAGGAACTATTTTTCTCCACCTACTGTTAATTAAACTAGCTTTTCTACGATGCACCATACAACTGGAAGCACAGCCCTTGAATCTGATTTAGATGAAGCAAGTAGCACTCAACAAATCTGTTTAACTTCTTTGCCAATGGGGGAGATAATAATCCTAAATCTTCATGGCACTCTGCCTGCAGTGTCCCTCCATACACACCTCCCATTAGCTCAGAAAATAATGCTCCAGCTAATATATAGTAAGAGGTGGTTTTGTGACAAAATATTTCAAACGTACATTTTATAACACACCATAATCACATTTAGCAACCTCTTTTGACAAGAGGGATGAGTTGATTCAATATCCTTCATCTCACAACTAATAGTGTGGATCTATAACACGAAAGATGTAACTCATAAATCGAAGGAAATAAGACAAGTTTTCTACCTGTGGAGAATTATCAATAATGGCAACTTTTGCAAGATCAACACCTAAAACTGTCAAGTCTTTCATGTAATTTCCTTCTGCAAATATGCATGATTCACGATATGCTCGTCTTGAAATAAGCTTTCCGTCTGGATCCAGAATGTCTAACAGTTGTTTTGCATAGATGCTTTGACTAGCAGTGAACACTACCGTCTCAAACATCTCAGCAACTCTTTCCAAAAACATCCGGAGGTGAGGTCTTTGTTTCACATACACAATATGCTCTTTCATGTTAAAGAAAACGGGAAATGTGAAGTCTGAATTACTACAGAATTCGAGTGTAGAATGCACAAGTGTTTCTGTAGACATAAAAGCAAAGTTATACTGTTAGAACGATGCTTTTAATAGTAGGTCAAATGCCTACTAGTAAATGAAATAAGTTCAAAACACCAATGTAAAGCTTAGATATATGAATAATTCACAAGGAAAAGAAGAAGCTGCAAGATATCATGGGTTTGCTTCATGCTGAGGACTTGCAGACCTTTAAGGTCACGTATCTTAGTTTATGTCCAAACAAAATAAAAACCACCTCATGGAAGCTGGAAAAAAGTTACCTAATTTCTCATTGAATTGCCATCATACTATGCCCTTTCCTAGGAGAACTATCTAAAAAGTAATATCACATGACTGAATATTTATCATGGAATAGTTAAATAGGATGTCATGGAATAGTTGAAATAGGACAAAATCACCAACAGATATTTGAGGCACTATGTACTTACCATCCAAGTCGAGAACTAACGTTATCTGTTTAATTTTTTGCTTTTCTTTTAGAATATTGGCATGCGGCAATGTTGATGTTGCATCCAGCTCAGGGAGATTTCTGATATAAATCTGTGGATCGAACCAATCTGCTTGGTCGGAGTTGGGATAGATATTAATGTCAGTATCTTGGGTGGAGGATTTCAGTTGATGAATTGCCGAATATAAGCTCGAATCATTGGCATCGCTGATGATTTGTCCTGATGCTTTGCCATCATGGTCATATCTAGTTTCCAAAGTATCCTCGAGAAGAGGCAATACCATGTAGTCCTCAGCAAAATCATAAAATATATTTGACTCTTCACACTTGTAATCAGGTAAGAACAGAGAATCTACATTATTATGAAAGGCCAAGTTTCTTTCAATGGGCGATCCAGAAAAAATCATGTCAGAGATGTAGAAATCCGACACATTGCATTCTTGATGCTCAGAAGACCTGCTGCTGCTATCATCACTGTTTTCCACATCCAAGAGTGGCACACAGAGATTGTCACTTCCTACAGAGAAATGAACAGCGCCAGAACAAAGGTCAACTACAAATACTTCAGGTCCTCAAAGCTCAAAGAGCATATCAACGTAATTATGTATTGAATGCTTTTACAGACCAGACCAAATGCATAAAAAAGAAACACCAAGAAACTCAAGTTGCGAAAGAAATTATCTCAATCACAGTAGCCATCTTCACGGCCATTCCATATGCACAAAGAATGGAGATGTAAAGCAACTTTTTTGCACACCCGTCTTAAGAAGGATAATTATACACCACCTTTAAGTAGATGTAGTACACAGTCCACATTCAAACTTCCCCAAGGGAATGTGTTTTATCAAAGCAGAAGATTTACTGTCAAGGGTTAAACACCACTTTGCAGTTGACTCAAGCCTAAAAACAATTAAACTAACCAAATACCAATAAGAGAAAGAGAATTTATACTCATTAGAAACTGCCTATACAGCTATTAGAAATAACAAAGAAAAATGAAATATTCATCAAGTTTTTTGCACCAAGACCAGCAAATTAGTTTGGTGTATAGTAAATATTTTTGGAAAGAAGATCATTGTTAAGTAACAAATACTCTTCACTTTTCCTTCACCTCTCTTTTGAAAAGTTTCTCTACTCCCTCTTATAAAGAAAAACAGCAAGGAACATGTTGCAAATCTCCAGATTTTTTTTGATACTAAAGTCATTTCAGGAAATTATAATATTGCATTCACCATTAAGAAAGCATCAAGTCGCAGAGCTTTAGGGTGTACCTTTATCACAAGGGAAATTCATGGCCTCCAATATAGGAGAGAAAATAGTCTCTAAGCTTGAGGAGCAAGTGGATGGTGTGGATTCCTATGGTATTGAAACAACAAACGTAAGCACTTGATTGCATATTTGATGATTCAGTCAGCGTCAGGCATATCAAGAAGTTAAGACTTCTCAAAAAAAAGGGCTTTTAAAATCACTTCCAGACAGTCGAGAAATCCAAGTTGGACAAAGAGTCAACCATGTTTGAAAAACCCTGTTTATCATCCACTCCACACATCTTTTTTACACTGTTTTATCATTTTTTAATGGGGCAATTCATAAAATCAGCAAATAAAACAATGATAACATCTTTACCATGCATCCATTAGTTGCAAAATCACCAGTAGTTGATTCTTGCTTCGGAAAATGACTGTCTCCACAGTTCACCTCATTATGGTTGGCTTCATCCCCTCTAATATCTTGAGAATATACTTTGTCGCACGAAGAAACTACGAGAGCAATGAAAAAGTATTGATTCAAAATGTAGAAACTCATAACCAAACACATTTATGAGCTGGAAAAAGGAACTGATGCATGGATCTGAGGATAACCTTAAAGGGGATATAATAAAAAGTAGTTTGCCAATCAGCAAATAGAAAATAGAAATTCTCGCTTTACAATGACAACAATTCATCTGCATGTCGTTAAGACAAACCTTAAACTCTCTTTACAATTACAATAATTCAATTGCATGTCGTTAAGACAAACCTTAAACACTTTCCTTATTGATGCTATTAAGAGTGTTCCTAGCTAAACAAATTTCGAAAACTCAATCATGCAAAATCATCACCCACATGCTTGTGCATAATATACATACATACATACATATATATATATATATACAGAAATGATCTAATGAGCACCGGTGCTCATCTTATCCTAAACACTGATGAGTTGGCACATTAATTCATTGGTGGATAAAGATTTTGTGAGTTCCAATCCACCAATGAATTAATGTGCCAACTCATCGGTGTTTAGGATAAGATGAGCACCGGTGCTCATTAGATCATTTCT